TTCATTCAATTGCTGTCGTTGAGCATAGGGAATCCGATAAGGAGGAGAGTAAATAGGCGCCGCATCGCCAGTATCGATTCTATGTTGAACTATATCACAATAGTATAGATCAGTGTTATTCAACCTGTGGGTCGCGACCCCCTGAGGGTCGCGGGTAAAAGAAAGACAAGTGTTTGTAGGTCCTACACTTCATTAAAGGAAGTTTCATACTTTGTGTGTTAAGTTATTGTCGATTCTTCCAAAATTTTCATTTTAATCAACAATAATTTGTCTCAACAGAAAGAAAATTAAATACATAGTTTTTAAAATCATTGATATAGTCTTAATATGGCCCTATGGGGGGGTCACCAGAATTTTTTAACTTGTAAAGAGGTCGCGTATTCAAGAAGGTTGAAAAACACTGGCCTAGATCATAGTCATTTAGGGCAAAAACATGCCAATATTTATATAATAGAATTAAGAGCTCTTGTTTCTCCTTTTTAGGTATTCCAGACCAGTCGAATAGTTGACCGAATTCTGCCTTAGTCAATTTGGCAGTTGCTCTCTCTTTAATAATATCTACGGGTTCAGTTTCTTCTACCGCCTCGAAAAATGTGCCAACTTTGACTTTTTTATCTAATTTAATTGTCTGTCGAATAGCGTTAAGGAGGCGTATGGAAACTTGTCTTTTTTTGTTGGGTGTATCTAGTAAATTGGCTCCTGATATTCCTTCCTGGGGAAAGGGGCTACTTTCTATCACTCCTACTTTATTATTCCACTTGCCATTTGCAATTTTTGCGATGACTATATTTTCTGTCAAAGGTGGAAGTCGACAGGTTTCGACTAACACTACTTCATTTCCTTCCTCGGCTTCCGCTGATAGATGTGGTCTCTTTCTGGACCTTGTAATCTCAACTAGGTGATTGGGTTTGAGTTTATTTCTCTTTTGACTCTCCTGATTGTCCCTATTTATTTCCTTTCATACTCCCTCAGGGGTCTCTCCAGAATTTACCACTTGTAGGAAAGGTATCACGGTTTGAGGGGGAATAATCATTTCTCCACCTTTTAAATCAATAAGGAATCCCTTTTTGGTAATCATGTCTCTACCGATAATGCCGCCACAAGGATAAGTAACATCTAAGTCTACTAGACAACATGCAAATGGAAATCGCAAATCTCCTATTTCGAAAATAGGGCTCATAATGCCGTAAGTTTGAATGGGATGACGTGGCGCTTCGTAGATCTGTTTCTTGATCATGATCGAGAGGGATCTTTTTCTTCATTGTATTGGCAGAGGCTTTAGATAAAAGCGAAACTTTAGCCCCTGTATCTATCTGTACAGTAGCCAGATTTCCTCCTATATAGCAATCGCGTATAGCCTCGTTTAGCAAGGATTGACTTTTTGTCAAATTTAAAGGAGAAAGGGTTCACTTTTGTGTTTGAGGATTTTTATATAATAAGGATCGCTGCTTCCATTTAGATATAGAATAGAGGTATGTAGAGTTTCTTCTTAATTATATTGAGATCGTCGCCCATTGACGCTTCGAACATTGCCTCTCCATTTGGTTCACGTTTCTTCACCTGGTTGGTCTCGGAATCAGACCCGGCCTCAGTCATCTCTTATTTTGCATCTCCTTGGGGAATCGTTTCTCAGGCGCGTAAAGCGATCATTATTATTATCTCGGCAGACCGGCGAGTTCCGGTTGTGATTACGTCGGATTTGCAGTCGCTCTAATCAGTGAATGGGTGCAGCCGGACGATATTCATTCCACCAGAAAGGTGGATTATTATAATTGCCACGATTAGTTTGCAGCACTACGGGGCCGGGACTCTTGACTTATTAAAGGCTGGACCTCTTGTTAACCTGTCCACTCTAGCCTTAAGTTCCGCCATCGCTGTGTTTAATTGCTCCATACTGTCTCTTAAGCAGACATCGGGGAATCTCTCGCTTTCCCTAACCGTTCGCATGATTCCCTGTGGGTATGCGGTAAGCTCTTCAATTGATTCCTCACTAATTGCCACTTCCAACGCGTCATCAAAGGTTTCTGGCTCCTGGGACATGACGCGTTCCCTGATGCGAATATCAACTTTGTTTAGGAATTGTGTTTTTAGCCGTTCATCCAGCTCTTTTGAATTTTCCAAATCATTGCAGTTTCAGAGTCATCTGCCCCAGGGTCCGGGGTAATTTCGATCTCCATAGCTAGCGCCTGCAGCCTAACAGTGTAGGTTTGTACGTCCTCGTCTTTCCTTTGGACGCACGTATAAAATCTATTTAACTGGAAGGAAAAGGGTTCACGGTCAAATCGCTCTAGCATAATTCGCTTAAATTCATCAAATTCATCTTCCTCCTTAATCCTACGGTCTTTCTAACAAATTCCCAAGCTATACTGGTAAGTTTTAACTTGGCAACGGCTAGCACTTGCGCTTGCGCTTTGGACCATGCCACTACTTTCGTGACATCGACCAACGAATCAAAAAAATCCGTTACTCGGAGACCTCCCACTTCTCCTGAAAATACCGGCAATAAAGGGATAATTCCTCCCAGACCTCCCAAGGTAATTGGGTTTGGAGTAGGATTAGGATTTGGATGAGGATTAGGATTAGGGTTTTCTTCCACAGCCGCAGGTTGGGGAGCATCCTGCATTGTCTCGCCTAATCTGAAATCTACTTCTTACCACTAGTCTAACACTTTTACTCAACCTACCAGTCCCTAACTCGACTAGAATCGACCTTTTAATTCGAATAGAGCCTTTTTCCGCCTTACCGATAGTTCAAGAAAGTTTGACCCCACTCCTGAAAAACCAATTTGTGGGTAACCTGAGGTAGGACGAAGTCGTACCTCATTGTGATAGGCAACAGTTTGGTGAGAACTGCCCACTGGTCAGTGGATGGCTTGTTTGTGGTTGTTCTATCCCGAAAAGTTGGGATTCTCTTGTCAGGTCGAGTGGAGGAAATGTGAGGGGTCGTCGGTAAGGTGTCAACAATATTCGAAATTAAATACACTTTTAACAACAAACATTTATTAGACAAAACTAAGATTATGGACTGTTCATGCAGATTTGGAAGGGCCGCACCAAGAGAGAGTTCACAATACTTTTGGCGGTTTCATACCTCTAGTTGATTCAACGTTGGTACGGGATCGACTTGGATCGGATTCGGTACTTCGATCGAGGAGGTCTTCTTAGGAAGGGTCCTTTTCGACGTCTCCACTATTGAATGAAGAAATCGGTTGGTTAGGCTGGTCTGTGGTGATGGTCCTGAAAGAGCGGTGAGGACGGACTTGTTTACGGACGGCAAAAGTCCCCCCTCGGTCGTCGTCCCTCTTTTGATATAAAAAAGGGATATCTTCCGGAGATCTTCTATCACGTTATCTCTTTACACCAATCAGATATCTTTGGATAAGATCCTGGTGATTCAGCTTCGGGTTACGGAGGGAAGGAAAGTTACTCCGGGGACGGGAAGAGGAGCATCCGCCTCCAACAGTTTCGAAAGAGGGAAAAATAGAGGGGTTCTTTGTTTAAAATAAATATTTGATTTATTAATTTTGTTGGTTAAAGGTCTCAAATTCTCTTAACTCGATCTGATTTTCACAAATTTAATTCTTGCAAAGTAAGCCATTGTAAAGCATTCTAACTAATACATAGATTTAATGGAGAAGGCAGAGGTTAAAGGGCAAAATTTTTGATATTCCGGATGTGTCGAAGGAACATGTTATGCTTCAGATTATGGTCTCCGTTTATCCTTCAGTCCATCCAGTTTAGAGTGTATATTTTAGTTTAAATACGAATTGTATTGAATGATTTTGAGTTACTATTAAATAAGTTTTAATTGAATTTCTATAAATAAGATGTTTGCAAATAATCCTTATCCTTTGACCGTGATTATAAAATATAATCTAAAGTAATTAATTACGAAAATAAACCAATGAAGAAATACTTAATTCTTTGCATCTGTCGTTTTCAGCACTTCGATTGCTTTCCAATGTGGCAGCAGGATTAAAAGTGGAAAGAGGTGCGTTTCGGATGGTAATTCAAATGAAAAACACAAGCAACGGCAGATTTATACACAAATATGCAAAGTCTTAGTCAGCCAATGTCATCTCCGAAAGTTGGACTAAACGAAACGAAACGAAAATAAAATCTTACAGCTAGCTAAATTCTAATTAAAATCTTACTTGGTGTAATGTCGGCATCCAAAAGCCTTCTTAAAACCATGTCTGGATAGCAAAGAACACTGAAATAAGGCCGAAAACACAGCAGAAACCAGAGCAAAGAGCACAAACGTCCGTTCGGCAAGGGAAAAATGTGCAAAGTGATGCAAAATCGTGTTGCAACAATACGTGTTTCCATAGAAATGGCAATTGTTGCCAGATTAGAAAGCATGTGTAGTGCTGCATCACTATATTTTTTGTTCTCGGTCTTTGTATATGTTCATGCCCTTTGTGTAATATGTTTCGTTATTTCGTGCCTGAAATTGTAATTGTGTAAATGAAATTTTATTAATTTTCCTTTCTGGTTGAACTGCCTTTTGGGTGGCGCGCCTGCCATGTAACGATTGGCTGTATAGTGATCATGTGAAGGGGGTTATGTAGCATGATGGCGGGATGTATAAATTATCCCATGTGCGGAGGAAGCACCTTTTTTCCTAACCAGGACTTGGGTCAGGTATACAGAGGTGTGTTGGAGCGTGGGGTGAAATAGAAAGAAATAGGGACACAACTCGGTTTGGACAAAGGATAGAAAATCGCTCAAGAAGCAATCGAATCACATCGTCGTGAGTTATACATCATGATAATTTATTAATATCATTAGATGGAGTGTTTTGGGTATATACCTGAATAAGACAAATATTATTTGGACATTGAATATTATGTTTTACAGACTCCCTGTTTTTTCTTGGTCGTGACTGCTCTTTCTACGAGATCCCCTTCCACTTTGTCCCTTTCTGCTCTTAGGTCGTCCTCTTTCTTTCTTCTCTTTCATTCCTTTTGATTTTGCTCGGCTTTTTTTCTTCTTTCTCACCTTCGAGCTCTCCTTAGAGGTTTTTACTAATTTTCTTTTAATCTCTTTCAACACAATTCTCCCGCAGTCGTTAATGGCTTCGTTGATAGTTTGATACAAAGATCGACCGATGGGAGTCAGTTTGTTTTCGGTAGGCGTTTCTTTCTTCCGCCCGCTGTTTGGACGATCGTTCTTTTCGTTCATTGTCAAGCAGGAAACTGAATTCGATGTTTCAAACGACATTTAAAGTAAGAATTCTGTTCTACGTCAATTTGAATTTAAATTTGATTTTTGTTTTTCTCTTTGAAACGAAACAGTTTTAATTTCGTTGGCGTTATTTAAAACGTTTGTGGCAGTAATTTAAAAAATATATACTGTAATCTCTTAATTTAATTAAGTAAATTTTATGAATAAGTTTGATGTTTTTGCAATTTGTATATTGAAAGTGTGAAAAACGTCGACGTGGTGTAATATTCTTACTTTTAAATGATAGCAAATGCTTTTGTCCTACGGCCGTTATGTAACATTGTCACGTTTTGTGAACGCTAATTGATTTCAGTTGGTTCGCGAAGTATTATTTTCAAACACAAGAGTTCGGCTTACTTTTAATACTTATCGCATGTATGTATTAATACAGGAAGTCCTCGTTGGTTTATGTCTAATAAGAAGAGACATAATAAAAGACCAGGGGTTAGAAATGAACTTAGTGACAGAAACAATAAAACTCCCCAACGGAAGAGTGGTAAGCTTCCAAGACCATGCCACACTAAAAGGGACAACGAACCAATAAAGAAATCATCGTCAGAGTAGTACGCGGACTACTCTGACGATGAAACCCATCCCTACCAACTATGTGACCAGCCAGATATTCACCAATTATGGAAATTACCTTGCTTACCTCCACAGGTTCAGCCACAACGATACTCCCACCTGCCAGTACGATAGAATTTCTTCATAGGAAAATTCTCACTTAATTTTTGACTGCACTCTGTTCGATCATCAGAGAATACCTTTACTCTAGACGGTACTCCAGGAAGGACACAACTTGCCATGCAACCCTACCATCCTTGTAAGCAACAAAAGGATATTCACTGAACTAATGAACTTTATCAACTCTACCAAAGCCCTCAATTTTCAGAACAACAACATCTAATTGTTTCAGCAGGTACTCTGTCACGCATTATATCTTTCTGTGTACATAAGATTGTAGTGACATGTATTTCTCTATGGAATTGTGCCTGACTTCTGTGTTTATCCATGTGTTCTAGCCATTGTATCAAGCATGCTATGTATGTGTTTGTCCACTATGCCTATATAAATATTTTACTGCTTTTACATTGTAACAAGTTAACATATTGTCGTGCCTTTATATTTGTTAATGTATAAAACCTTTGTTTGTGATGAATCTTGCATTTATATATACTAGGTGTGTTTTTAAAGTAAGTACCATTTTAATATAACACCACTGGAGCGCTGCAGTCGGTGCTTAGCGCATGCACGCTGTGTACCTACATCTGTTGGGAAGCCACAAATGCCATTACGGAGCCACTTGACTGTGTTTACTGTTGTTTGTGTGTTATTGAAATGCTGTTGTTCATTGAGAATCCCGCCGACTGCGAAGTGCATGCCGTTATTCGTTTTCTCAGTGCTAAAGGCTCGAAAGTGGCTGAAATTCATCACCAAATCAGTGAAGTTTATGGTGAAAGCGTTACGAGTGATGGAATGGTACGAAAATGGGTTAGGGCCTTTAGTAATGGCCGCACAAACATTCACGATGAGGTACAAAGTGGGCGACCTTCAGTCATTATCGACAATTTGATTGAAAAAGATTGCATTTGAGATATATGGGCAAATGGAAAAGTGCAAATATCCTGCTGTAAGAAAAGATTGTAGTGTCGGTTTATTAAATGTCACGATTAAATGTTTAGTAGAAATTACCTTGCCATCTCGACAAATGGAGATGCGTCAGACAGCAGTAACTCCTTGATCTGAAAGGCAAGTTTAAATATCTGATTCATCCTCAGACATCAGACATCAGATCGATTTCAGGTATCACACCACGTGAAGAGTTCAAACTTGTGTGTGGTGTAGTTGTTACTTGTATGTCTTTTAGAGAGTTTGTTTTCAAAAGCTTTTATGACTGTTGAGGGGAGGCTGCGTCTACAAGTAGATCTCCTGATCTGAATTTTTAATTTTTTTAAGGTGTCCAATGGTCAATTCAAAAAGTTTCTGAATCAGAAAAGAAAAACATTTAGAAAGAAGTGTTTCTCCCGTAGCATGAATGATGAGGTAATATGGTTGGCTGGAGGAACTGACCACCTTTAATGGCGCAATGCATTGGTATATGCTGTTTGAGATTTTAAAGGATTCATATTCAAAACTAACTATTAAGCTCCTAGTAACCCCACCCACCATGGGGCCCAACTATGGTATGCTGTCACATGGACTATTTCCATAGACCATCACACTAGGGCAGAGGTGGGGAACCTTTTTACCATTAGAGGCCACATTTAAATTAGGCAGCAATAAGACAGGCCGCATAAGCTGATTGACCTAAGAAAGTGACTTTTGTGAAATTATTATAGTTTTTCTATAGATTTAACAATTTATTGCATTATATAGAAAAAATAAAATATAATACTACAAAATTTTAAATATAATATACATATAAAATAATATAAAAATATCATAAAAAAATACAATAAAAAATATTTTTTTATTCACTAAGTTAGTGACTTATTTGGCTTTGTTTTTTGTTTGACAGTAATTGTATATTTGGATCAAGCTTCGTAACACACAGCTTTAATTGATCCTCTAAATGTGCATCTGTAATTTGCGTTCTTAAATTTGTTTTTATTTTTGACATGAGAGAAAATGTTGTCTCGCAACAGTAGGTACTTCCGAAGCAGGAAAGTAAACGGCGAGCATGTTCTCGAAGGCATGGATATTCAACAGCATTTTTCCAGATTTCTATGGGATCCTTTTTAGCGTTAAAAAGGGATTTGATGATACTATCTTCCCCTAAATCAATTAACTCCATTTGTAGTTCTGCAGGAGCCTCGGATATATCTATTAAATGTGGTTCAAATGCCAGTTTCATAGCAGGAGTGTGCTCGTCAAAATCAGAAAATCTATTAGTATACTCTTCTATTAAACAATCCAAGACACCTACATATTCATCGAATATTTTATTTTCACAGTTCTGCTCATTTAACATTTTAGCTAGCTCCGGGAAGTGTTGTGCAGATATTTCCGATCGACAAAGCAATGTTTTGAAAAATGATAATTTTTTTCTAAACGCTTGGATCTTTTGCCACATTTCATAAATATACCTCGTTTCACCTTGCAGGCAAATATTTAAATTGTTTTGTTTTGTCATCATATCAGACAAAAATGCAAGGTTTCTGAGAAATACTTCATCTGATAGATCACATTGTTTTCCTTGTTCTTGATAAAAGTTTAAAATTTGTCGTCGTAAAGACAAAACTTTTATCAAAACCTGACCTGTTGATAGCCAGCGAACCTTGCAGTAGTA